GTCCATCGCCCCTAGGGCGGCTGTGGGGGGGGGGGGGGCGGGGGGGGGGGGTGGGGGGGCGGGTCTGGGTGCCGATGAAAAGGTAATCTGACTCAACCCACCCACACCCACACCCACACCCCACCCACACCCACACTCCACCCACACCCGCACCCACCCACACCCAGACCCACCCACACCCACACCCTCACTATTGATCAGTTTTACTTTTTGAAAAATTAATTTTGAGTATTCTCTAATTTCTAAGGTGTTATCATATTCATATAAGTTTTATTAAAGACAGTTTTAATCTAACTATTGAACTCAAGAATTCAATATTATTAACACAAACTCTATTCATTGACAATTAATAAGCGTTTCCATGCTTTATTTATTATACTTTAGTGTCATTTATGAACAATACCTTCGAAATATTTTATGTTACTAATGAAATTCAGTTATATGGGTGTCAGTTGTCTAGATAATGTCCTTCGCCTTTAAACTTTTCTCCTTTCTTGAAGCGCAAAAACAATAAAAAAAGAATGAATAAAAACATCTAATTATGTATTTGCCATAAAGTTTGTCTATACTATTAAATGTCAACGGAATTACTTCCAGTATATGACTGTATCTACATAATTCATGTGCTAATAAGAACAACATAATTATTCTTCTTACTATCTATATGTACATATAAATACTTGTTCGTGTTTATTTATATATATATTGGTATTTCATTACATTGTTTTTGCAATGAAGAACGAAAAAATTACCTTTCATGTAATCAATTATTCTAGCTACCTGTAAATATTTCAATTAATCCCGTAATACGTACTAATTGATGATATGAATAAAAAACAATGACATATAATCATAGATTAATATAGAAAAATAAGATAATAGATTTCTGTCATTGCTAAACATTCTTATTTCTTGTCAAAAGACAATATTAAAGGACATGAAATATTTGATGGAATCAAGACTATACTCTTTATTGATAATGAATATGCATGTAGATTTTGAAGAATCGATATTATATATATGTAGATTAATCAATGGTATATGGGCATTATTACATTAGGTTGAATGGTTAAGATAACTCATAATTCTGTATATACAAATGAGGTCGATTATACAGATGTCAAAGATATGATAGACGAGAAGAGAATAAATTCTTTTTTTTTCTATCTCTCTCATATAAATGAGTGCAAGTGTACGAACTGTACGTACAATTTCATATCCTAATTACAAACCGGGTGATTTCACGTTTCAAATCATGTAGAGCACATAGTTGATTGGCTTACTATGATGATGAAAGATCTTATATTGAAGAAATCAGTAATTTACAGAATTTGTTTTACAAGCCCTATTACATCATTATGTGCCCAAATTCTACGTTATATATATATGTAATGATGGAAATTCTAGCCTTGTCTTGATTTGAAGGAGCTCGATGTAAATGTGTCACATATATCATGGAATCATCCATATATTTTCTTTTATATCTCATGGGTATTTTTGCAATTTATCTTACTGGTTGTAATCATATTGTAATCGTTGGGGAAGATAATATTCTTGTGAAACTATATATAAACAAGAGAATATAATATAATGACTAATCTACAAAAATTAATAGTATAATTGAACGTTGTACTATCATGATTTTTTTGCAAATTAAATAAATCTTTTTATTTTTTTTATTTATTTAATAGTACAAAATGTTTTTCTTTTTCTTTCTGGAAATTACAAATAAAAACAAATTCAAATGAGAAAATCATGCCAAAATGAATCTTTTATTGACTGCTGATTTTGCTTTCGTAATAGAATACGACCATAAACACCTGTTCAACGTAAATATAGAAAACGTGTAGCTAACGCACATTTTATATACTTCCAATCCACACCAATCGTAGTTATGTCTTTATGAATATCTAATTCTACAATATGAAGCCAGTTACCAAGTCATATTTCAAATATGCCTGTTTTCTTTTAAAGCGATTCAGCAAAAGTAGCTGTGAATTCTTGTTAATGCTCATTAGTGCAATTTAACACACTATATGGTAGCACGAGAAGGTAAAAGATATTTTTAAAATAAATAAATAAAAGAGATAAAAATTGTAATCTAAATAGTTCCTTATTCTATTAGTCATTAATTCATTCAAATGCAAATATCGCCTAAAGAATCCTTTAGTATGTGCTCAACTGAGATAATTGTTTAATAAATAAAATATATATATATATATATGAAAGAATTCATTTTGATATAAGCATTTTAATTATTAATTACAATGATTTATTTTTTTGTACTATTCAATTGATGTCGCTACTTCACTAAGTTTTTAAATCGTTTTGGCGATGACATTGAAATCATACACATGCTATCGTTGGATTATTGTTCTCATTGTTCTATTATATCTAATGAAGATGTTTACTAGAAAACTAGACATGTATTTCACCAAAAAAATGAAAAATAGATTTGAAAAGAGATTCCGAATGGGAATGAATTTGAAAACTCCTCGCAATATCTTGCCTTGCACACAAAGATTTGTATCATGCCTAGTTTTTTTTTGTGTTTGTTGACGTAATGCTCCATCGGGACTGAAAGCCTGTTGCTATATTGTCGTGATGATATTCAAAAAACATATTTCGAACTTCACTATTGTTACTTACAACTGTATCTATAGAATCTATTAAACTTATTAAATCACTTGTTTTAAAAAAATGTGCTTGTTGTACATGTAATGATTATGAATTAGATGAATGTAATTTGACAAAAGTCGTAAATAAATTACTTCTTTCTCATATTAATGATTCTCAATCTAAATGTTTAGTATCAATTAATTCATTTATAGAATTATTTCAAATATTTCTCTAATTAATCATCAAGATAATGTTGGTGGTACTCTTGAATAGTTTCTTACATGCTGTCTCTATCAAGTAGGATATTCATATTGCTATCGTGATAGATCTGCAACGGCTGTCAATGTGAATTATTATCGAGCTACGATTGATTTATATCTTTTTGTTATACAATGTCAGAAACAAATGTTTGAAAATGAACAGTATATTTGAGAGAGTATGTTTCACGTTTTCGGAATAGTTTCTAAAATAAATAACGATATTGTTATTCAAGTTGTTCATGAATATATTATAAAAGAAAATGAACCATGGAACAAATATTTTATGTATAGGTTTAGAAAAATATTAAAAAATTTAATTGAAAATAGTCGACTAGATATTCTTACATATATTTATCGTGATGTTGAATTTGAACGATTCTTTAATATATCAAATCATACTAGAGAATGTTTAGATTTAATGGCAAAAGATCAATGGGGAAGAAAACTGTTTTGTGTTATTGTTGATGACAAATTATTGGAGCTGTTGTTTTCGAAAGAAGATTTAATATTTATTTTATTAGATAAAAAGAACGTAAACTATTAGAGAAACTATTAAGATTATCACCATGTCTCATTCATCAATTAGATGAAGATGGATGTGGTCCTTTACTTTATATATGCTTCAGAAATTTATCGTTGTCAATATCGAATCGATGCTATTTATTATTCTTATTTCGTTAAACGAATACTGGAATGATCTTACTAAAAGCTTTTGTTTGACATGATAATAAAAAAACTATAGAAATATGTAGATATCAATGTCTTATCCAACGTGGCTACTGAGGGAATGATGCCCATTCGAACTTAGGGTTGGTTGCCACAGGCTTTGTGGTTTTTCTAACATGTACTATGAGTCCATACTTCCAAAAATAGGCATTCGTCCTCTTCCCACGTTTCAAATTACTTCTCCAGAAGAAAAAGTCTGGATTAGGAGAGCTTTCACATAAAAACATTTCGGACTATGCCAGAAATCAAAGCACCCAGCAAAAGTCAGGTATTATTGTGCACGATGGAACAGTTCTATTTGACATCCTGATTCAGTTACCTGTGCTGTTCGAGATGATTATAGTGATTTGGCTGCGACTGAACTTGATAAGCAATAATTCAATGACATGAAATCTTTTTATCATTCGTAACGATAAACAAAGCCCTTATAAGTTTTTTTGTGGTAATACAAATGATAGCAAACCACCAAATACATGACAAGACTGACTAGTAATGCAAGTGCGGATAACTCAGAGCCTCTGCGGTCGTGATGTACAGACAAAAACAAATTCGAATCGATATCATACATTCGCATGGTTAAAAGGTAAATATATTGTTTATACTGATCATTCACCTTCTTATCTCTGTTAAATTGAATATTGATGTTAATATATGGATTAGTAAATGATAGGCATCAGAAAGTTAAGACAATAAGATAATGAAAGCAGAAACGTGTCCATGAGCATGGGAATGAAGGAAAGACTAACGTATGCATCGACACCCATATAATGAAGCCATTTTACAATATAAAGTACTGATAAAATAAAAGAATTCTCATTGAATCATTTTTTTTCTGGAAGCCAAATTTATATCTGTTAGAGATTAGCTTCATATTGTTTTAGCAAAAGACATCAGCAGAACGAGAAAAAAACATCGATAAGATATGTAAATACAGATATTTACATCACTCTTATATCGATTTTGTTTTTGCTTATGTCACATGGCTAGCAACAACGAATATGAAATTGCTCTAATCGAGAATGAAATAGATGCTTGTTTATGTGCTAAACTGCTTGCAGAAGAATTTGTTACACGCAATCCTTTGACGATTTTTAATCAAACAACAGCCGAGCAGTCATATGATCGATGGGCTTGGCCATTCATGATGGATGTACTTGATGAAAAATTATCATTCTTTATACGACACCGTCCAACAAATGAAATTGTTGCATCGATGATATCTAGTGACCTATTTTCATATAATGAAAGATATCCATATGATGCTTCTAGTCCTGCATCTCATTACCCCACATCAGATTTATTTGACGAAATGGTTGATCAATTTGTTCATCATGATTTTGATCACGAACTAAAACCGAATACGGTTCTCTATGTTACAGCAATCGCAACACAATCTAAACATTCAAAAAAAAAAATTTAGCTGCTCAATTAAGTACTTGTGCATGTCATCATGCACAAGTTACAAAAGGATTTCAATATGCATTTGTACAAACATGTAATCCAGCAACGCGTAACATCTATGTTAAAAAAATAAAGACGAACCAATTGTCAACATTCTTATCAATCTGACTCAATGAAAATAACATAGACGAAGATCAATTTTGTTTTTCACATCGAATCATATTCGAAACTTTAATTAATCAATAATAAATGAGAATAAATGTTAGAGTACTGGCAGAAAAAAATTATTACTTTTTAATTTTTTTCAAAAATCTTCACGAATAAAAAAGCTGAACAGGAAGAGGATGAAAATTTTTATTATAGATATTTCTCAATTAAATATAGAGTTTTCAATATATTTTTCCATTATGACATCGAACTCCATATTGATATTCCGCAAGTATTTTGCGCGAAAGTAATCCTGTTCTAAAAATAATGATTTTTTTAATTAACACTGGAAAGTTCAAGGTTTGCGTCATAACTTTTGATGTTATAACACTACCCATGATACAAAAAATGACTAAACAAAAAAACTTGGCTGCACTTATTGTAACGAAAAAGAGGGATAGTAAGTTTCATTACTACTACCCTCGGTATACGATGTTCACTACACTACTCCATCACTTCGGCTCTGTCCGTTTCATATAGAACATAAGCTTAAATAGGAAAAAGGGAACAAGGAGAAGAAAAGAAAAGATAAATAGCGAACAGAGTGGGAAGGCAGCTACTAGCCATCACGAGATCAAACAATCTAGCTGCATGGTGACCGCTTTCCCTGACAACATTGGACACATAGCGAATGCACAAAGATCAGGTGTCGATGTGTGAGGGTAGTTGATCTAGTTGCTCATTCTTAAATCCACCCACACTCACACTCTTCTCTTTCATTAACATCCAAAACCATTATTTCAATTTAGACATTATCCAGAATCAAATAGGACTTATTTTTTCTTTCAAAAAATAAAGTTTATCTTTTTGATGTTCGAATTAAAGTAGATTATCATTCTTCATAACTTGTTCGTATGAGGGTGGAGACTCTTCATCAGTTCGAATATTATTAGTTGGTATTGATTGATGCGTAGATTGAGAGATATTGTTTGACCAATTTTTATTTCGATAACCAAGACAAAGCAACAGACGTCTACCGAAACAGAAACCAATAATGGTGATTGATAAAATAGTTATTAAATACGTAAACCAGCGAATGACAGGCGTAACTTTACACTGGCCAGCAACTTCACCACATATTTCATGAGCTAAAAATTAAGATGAAACGTATTAGGAGAACGAAACAAGTCAATTTACATTGACAACACCATGTTTGTGGTACTAAACTGAAGTTTTCATGTCGGCAAGTTACTAAATAGATAATTAATATAGAATGTTAATTAAGAAAAAGTAAAGTTTCGTTTATTTTTACCATATTCACACCAGCCTATTGCTGGTAATGATGAGAAACCACTGAGCCAGAAGAGCAAAATCATTAATATTGGGCATATAAGTATCATCCTCATAATATTATTTGCTTACACTTTTAAACAAAATGCTATTATTGATTTAGTAACAATGATCCACTTCAAATTGATAAAACATATTTTCGACGAAGAAAAAAGACTACTACAATCCAATGATTACTAGACAAATACATTCTGATGCATACAAACAACATGGTCATGTATATCTTATCTAGAGAAATATTTCTTGTCTTTCGATGTAAATTTCTTTTTGTGAAATATTTCTCTAAAGTATAGTAAAAATGAAGTTGTTCTCATGTATTTTGACAAGATTAATATTACACAATGAATAATTAATTCATAAGACAAATCTTTATTCATTCGTCTCTCTTTCTTTATTAAATTCTTATGGATTATTTTTTGTCGAAGTTTGCAATTCTCAAAATTGTTTTAATCCATTGACTACCAAAACTTCGATTTCAAAACGCTCATTTGAAGTATATAGATTTTTGAATAAATTACGAACGCAAAAAAAGACATTAGGATGACACTAGGAACCATAGATTGATGTAAAAAATTCTAATCTTATAGAAACCATTTACTTAATTAGTCTGACGATTCTTCAAAAAATTACCTTTGAAAAAAACGTTCTTTACTCAGAATGTGATACTCCAAGAGTTAAAAGAAAGAAAACGTATATCATTTCGATCGTTTTTAGTGAAGGTTTCTGTAGAAATGATGATAAGGTTAGTACTTTTTGTGTAAAAGTGAAATGCTTTATCCTGTTAAACAATACATATGTTTTCACGTATGATCTCTGATATATTTCAGTTCTTGTCAATATAATGCAAGATGACATTCCACGCACCACGACAAATGTAATAATCGTATGAATTCATGCAAAACATATAGCTCATATGATGATCAGAATTTTTATCAAATATTGTGTGTAAATGCAGAAAAACCGTCTTTAGAAGAACTCTTACTAACGTGGATTAGCAATGCAGCACAAAATCTTTTCACACCATAATAACATACCATCTTATGGAAAAGTTCATTAATCTCTTCTGTTCATCGTTTTCTCATCTCATTATGTCTTAGAAGGGTGTGGATGTGGTGTCGATATGGATTTTCTCTTCATCCACACCCACACTTACCCAAACCCTATTATTGCGGATCAGTATGAATCGATCCCACATTAGTCTGTCACAGCTTGGTACACATGACATCTTGAACGTGAGAATGAGTTCAAGCTGTCATTATCACCATTTCGACTCTGCTGACGACAAATTTTTATCAACATTATTATGATATGGAAAGTTTCGATTGTACTAATTTTTTAATTCGATGTGGGTGTGAGTGTTCATCCGCTCTTAATCCACACCCACACCCTTCTCTATGAAGACTTTGTCAAATAGAAAAAAATAAGGACATTTTCGTAATCAGCGTTAAAAACTGAATCTAGAAATGTATGTTTAAAGAAAAAAATAAGAGATGCTGTAATTTTGCATTACCCGCACCTTACGTCTGTTTTCTATGGTTCGAAGATCATCTCCTCGATTATGTTGTGTCACTCTGACATGATTCAAGTGTTTCTGATTCTACACAAACAACTCTTCGTGCACTTTCATCTGCGAATGCCATGTCAAAATTGATCAATGGCAAATGAAGAAAGAAAAGTTTCGTTGATATCAATCCCATACCACCTTCTTATCGAGGAAAAATTACTTGAACCCCTATCCGTTTAGAAAAATAGTTGATTTTTTTTTATTGATCTTTACTACTTTTTGATTTACAAAACTCGTCCAATGCACTTTGCCAGTTGACTTTTATCTTGACGTTTCCCAAATCAACGACACGAAAAGCTGTTGCCCGTCTGTACATCACGTGAAACACGGCGTCTTCAACGTTGCCCGAAAACTTTTTTCTAGCTAAATAAGCGGCCACGACTGCCGCCGACCTCTGACGTCCAACCCCACAATGAATTAGAGTTGGCTCTCCTGCACACTGCTCGAGAATAGGCACAGCTTTGTGTAGGAGATCAACGAAATACTGTGTTTCTGTTGGTGATGGTTCGACATTATCTTCAGCTTCAAAACGATAATAAATACAATTGTCGCGTTTCGTGATTGGTTGTGAGCAGATGCTTACGATATTTCGAATGTCATTCGCGGCAAGAAATTCAACATCTTCAGCGTCGTATAAAGAGCCGAGCCAAAGATTTGGGATGACGAGAGATGGAGCTTCTCGTTGTCGTTGTGACATATCTAAAACATAACATTGTCAATTCAAAAATGTCTCCATCAAACGACGAGTTGGATAGTTATTTTATTGTGGAATAAATGTCTTGATCAATTGGGTGAGAAAGTTTTAGTAGATGAACGTTTCGAATTTAAATCGAACAAAAGAACATTGTTCACTTTTAATTGAATAACCTAGCTATCTTCAGGTAGCTGAGATTTCTACAGCACAGACTGCTACGCAAACTGTCCCGTTTTTGCCAGCACAGGTGAAAATCTCTCTTATTTGCAAATAAATAGTTTAATCACAACTTTTATCAATATAAGGAGCGCGAATGCACGTACTCAACTTACGTTCATTCTACAGATACATGCAGTATGTTGGTAAAAAAAAAGACCATTTGCTTTTGATGATTTGACTTAAATTTGAATTAAGTTGTCGCAGGAACTTGAAAATTTGAGTGAATCTAGCACCAGATTAAGACGTTTCTGAATCAATCAGAAGGTCAAGTTATTGTAGAAGCGTCTATCTTCCAATGCTACATCTCAAATATGCTGGTGAAATTGGCTTCTTTCAGTTTTGGTAGAACACTTATGAATAAAGAAACCGCTATGAAGAAAAATCGTTCAATTGAAGTCATCATTTAAAACTATCTTGAGGGTCAGGATGAGGGCGTGTGTGCAATGATCTGACTATTTTGAAGCTTTCCGAGCGAGAGTTCGAGTGACCAACTCTTTCGCATCTCGGTCCAGATATCTTCATATCTCTTACCGGTGACGACTGTCGCCATTCAAAAATCACTTACGAGAGAAGGTCCCCAAGTGTGAATCGCCGATCGAGCTGATATTTTGTCCATAAATAGGACTCGACGAGACCAGCAGAAGCCTAGAAGGGTTCGTCCAGATGCCATGTCCTTCCCGAGTTATTACCATTTTACTAAATTTTTTACCTATGGCAAGGTACTTGTGAAGAAATCGAATTACGAAATTCCGATCTGAAATTTTGCCTAGATGTAGATCTCATGCTCGTTAGAATGCCCTAAAAATTTCAGCCCAAAAGAATATGTTCTTCTTGAGATATTGAGTAACCAAGACACTCCGTTTTCTCACCTATTCTGGTGACACACGATCGTTTTTACATATTCAATATCTCGAGGAAGAACATATTCTTTAGGGCTGAAATTTTTAGTACATTCTAATGAGCATAAGATCTACCTATGGGCAAAATTTCAGATCGAAATTTCGTAATTCGATTTCTTCACAAGTACCTTGCCATACATAAAACGTATCGATGAGAAGCTAGCACAACCAAACGAGCTAGCACGACGGAGAAAAAAATTTCATTCGTTATGAAGATCAACCAATGAAAAATTCACAATAGTGAAAAGCACCGTTTTGAGGGTTTATGCGATTAAAATGGCAGCACATAGCAACCGAGATAAAAATAAAAGATTCACATAAAGAAAAAAACAAGCATTTCGAAAAAAGAAAAATAGAACACTTTTCTGAAAAAATTCGACTCTCTCTATCAGTGGCACAGACATTTGCAGAGAATTCACCTCTCCATAAGATGAGCCGACCCTCATCTTCGTGCAACCCACACTTTTTTTGAAAAAACGTTTTTTTGTCAAATTCTTTTGCATTATTTTGAGTTACACCTCATTCTTTCGGATTTCCCACCCAGATGGAAATCGAATCTCTCTCTATGCAATAGAGGTGCTTGTAGAGAATTTAATTCTCTACAACATGAGCAAGACCTGATCTCCGGGCAATGCATACTTTGTTTTTGAAAAAAATGTTTTTTCAAATTTTTTGCATTTTTTGGGTCACCCTTCATTTTTTTGGAATTTGTTAGCCAGATGAAAATGGATTCTCCCTGTATGCAATAAAAGTGTTTGTAGAGAATTCAATTCTCTACAAAATGAGACGAACCTAATCTCCGGGCAATGCATACTTTTTTGAAAAAAGCCTTTTTTTTAATGTTTTTGCATTTTTGGGGTTTCTCATTCCGTGTTTTCGAATTTTAGAGCATGACCGAATTGAACTTTGCAGAGGAGTGATACAGGTTCTGATAGGCAATTGAAATCTTCGCAGCGGGAGTCGAAGTAGATCTTCTGGAAATGGATAGTTTCTTTTAAAAAATAGCATTTTTTTAAAATTTTTTGATGCTTTTTGTGATGTGTCATACTTTGTTTTGAATTTTCGAGGAAGAGGAAAAAGGAATTTTGAAGATGAGTGATAAAGGTTTTGATAGATAATTGAATTCTCTATAGATTTTTCAACAAATTATTCATCGTCCGACTATGCATTTGATTTCTCCGAACACAATTCAATTTCTCATTCATTACAGTAGATCTGAGTGATCGAATTCATTTTCACAGTAAAAGAAACCGTCGACAAGTCTATGGCTCATCAAGTTTTGGGTTAAAGGTGAAAATACAATTTACAGCTTTGAATTAAGTATCCATTGACCGATTATGAATTTGGTTTCATTTTATCTAGAAGTGCATTGTACATTTACTAAAGTTGTGCCGAATGGTAGAATTCCTTTCTCAATATTAAAACGAATCAAGCACCAGTTACGACCTAGGCATTTTTCATGAAGGGCGGAAATAAAATTTTATTTTCTTAATGAACAGGTCATTGCTGAAATATAAGTCTCACTTCATTTAATAGAGAATTCAATTGTGCATTAAATAAAGTAGATTTGAAAGAAAGACTTATCTCTCAACAAGGGAAAATCCATTGACTTCTTTATGACTCATTGTTTTTCGATGACGTTGGAAAATA